TTGTGGTCGTAAGTTGAGTACTACCTGTACTGAGATGTGAACTGCAGCAAAATGTTGCAGCTTCACATCCTCTCGCTAGCCCTCCATGAAACGCATTCGGCATCCTAGTATTGCTCTTTCCCTCGCCAAAAGGCAGGATGCTGCTGGAGTATTTGGCGTTTGCATTTTACTGGTACAATGGGCAGCAAAGCAACTCTGGCCGACCAGGCCGTGCTGGGCACAGGGCTACATTATTCCTATGGGTCAGGCTTCTCCTCAGCACGATTCTTCCCCTCCTTCTTCATCCCCCCTCCACCCCGGGCTGGTTCAGGGTCCTGGCATCTCTACCTAAGGCAAAGTCCCGAACGGCCTCTCCCCCCCAGGGGTAGTTGGAGCAGGTGCCCTGGTGGAAGCGTTCTCGATAGCGGGCACAGAGCTGGGCAAAGCGCACCCGCAGGTTTTTGAACTGCGGCCCGCAGTTGAGGCAAGCCTCTGCGCTGGGGCCCCGGCTGGCCAGAAGGAAGAGGAAGAGGACTGCTGTGGCGGTCAGCAGGCCACCTGGCCCCAGGGCCCCTGGGGTGGAGGGTGCTGGAGGGCCCATGGTGGGCAGCAGCTCGGCGGAGCTGGGAAGGGGTGGGTGGGGCCCTCAGGGACTTCCGGAACCCCCTTTCCACGGTCCGTTTGGGCCGTGGCTTTGGCGACGGTTCTAGAGCCCCGAGGTTCATCCTTGGCGGAGCAGGAGAGCAGCCCTCAAGGCCGGTGGGCCATCTGGGGGGTGAAGCCAGGAAGGGGCATCTGGGGACGGGTTTCAAGCAAGTGGAAGCGTGTTTGTCTTTCCGCGAGGAGAATTTTTTCAGTTTTTAGGGGGGGACCACGCTGGGACAAGGGAAGAAAGGCATTAGGACCGAAGACCCCTTGATGCCTCGGGCCCCTGCCGTCTTATTTGCTGGGAATGCTGGGACGTGCACCCCTATCTTTGGGGCGGCTGGAGGACTGCCCTCCTTTGCAATGGGCTTCCTCTGAAGACTCTTCTCAAACGCCCCTGGGGCTGAAACCAGCAAGTAGGAAAGCAGGGGCCAATCCTTACTCCAGTGTTTCTCAACCTTGGCCACTTGAAGATGGGTGGACTTCAACTCCCAGAATTCCCCAGCCAGCCATGAATTCCTCCTCCTCATCTGTGAAAGTTTCTTATTTTGGGACGCTGTGCCTACCGCTGTGGGGGTGTCGATGCTCTTTTGGACCCCTGGATTTGCGACGGCTTTCTTGGGATTTTTGGAGTGCCACTATTGCGCTGGGTGAATGTCGCCCGCCCTGTTCAGTGCCGGTGTTCTCGAAGGGCAGGCTGTAATTTTTGATAAAGCTAACGCATCTTCTGCACGCCCTGGCAGGCACACCCTTGTGGCTTATTCACACCGCCCGGGGCTGAGGCGGCTGCGGGTGTCACGTGAGGCTTGACCTAAATTCTGGCTTGGGCCTGAGTAAGCACCCTCCCCAGGCCCACTTCTCCCTGCGCGCGGCTCTGACACACAGACGGGTGTGTCACGGGCACATGCTCCCAGACTCACAACTCTCCCGTGCACTGTGCGGCCCAATCTTTCGCTCCCCGTCCTCTGCCCTTCCCACCCTTCCTGGAAGAGACCCAGGCAAAGTTCAGACCAGACGGTTGGCGCATGAGAGGGCTGGGTTTCAAGGAGGCCCCGGCACATCTGCAGCCGGGCCAGAATTCTGCGGTTCCTGCGAGACGCTGCAGGTCCGAGGGGCCAGGTGGCATATCCCCAATGGAGCCTGCGCGGAGGGCTCCTTTTCCCAGGCCCCCCTCACCTGGACCCTGAGCATGCAGGAGGAAAGGGGGGGTGACTGTCAAGGCGCTGCAGAGCATGGGGAACCCCCTCCCCAAGACCAAGAATGGTGGAGTTGGAAGGTCCCCCCCAAGGATCATAGTCAGGGTGCCGCAGAACCAGTTTCACCGTCTCTGAGTGGTGCCTGTACAGCCTCTTCTTGACAATCCCCATGGTGGCCAAATCCTGGCTTGCTTAAAAGCACCACCTCCCTTTGAAGATACAGCAGACGGGCATTCAGCAGGCCGACAGCAACGGTGCACCGCGGGCTCCCAGCAAAGCAGCCCTAAGCAGAAGCAGAAGCAGAAGCAGAAGCAGAGCGTATATCCCCTTGGCCTACTACGTTGCAAAGAAAAGGCAGACACGGGGGTAAATCACAGCGTGACGGTGGAATGGTTTCGATAAACCCATCTGGGTGACCTTACTCCAGTGTTTCTCAACCTCGGCCCCTTGAGCATTAGCTGGCTGGGGAGTTCTGGGAGTTGAAGTTCACCCATCTTCAAGTCGCTGAGGTTGAGAAACACTGGGTTAAGGAACCCCTTAAGAGTCCCCTCTTCCCCCTCAGCCCTCTCCCTCCCCCGCAATAAGCCCCACACCCTGCATTGGGCATCCGTGGAAGGCGAATCCTCGGCACTTCCTGCCAGCCACTGGAGAGCGCCCGTTGGAGATCCACTCGGAGAATGACGCCATCTGCTGCCTTGGCTCCGGCAGACAGTGGGAGCTGCGCCCTCTGCTGGCTAAGCGGTGCAGCTGCACGTTGGCCTTAAAACATCTGGTCGCCAGAGGTCCTACGAATAGCTAACCCAGTTCACTGTTCCCAGTGGGGACAGCAGCCCAGTGCATCTGAGAAACCCCAAGCAGTGGGAGGAAGACCAACTGCCTGGTTCCAGGAGCAAAATTATTCCAGATATGTAGTTTTTTCTGGCAGCACAGGGTTTGTGGGGCTTTTCTCCTTACCTCTCACTCCCAAAGAGAACCTAGCACCCAAGGCAGAGAATGCATGGCCTCTCTTCAGCATCCCCTGCCTGGGTGCCCTCCGGACGGGGACCAACTTTCAGTAGTAGCCATGCTGAGTCGAGAAGCTTGGGATTTGTAGTCCCCACCTCTGGAGAAGGTCCAAGGTGGGAGAGCTCACAGCTCAGCCGCTGGTTTATGCTGTAGTTTGGGCTCTCGTGATGGTGAACCAGCCCTCCATTCTGCCGAACGGGATTTTGGCAAGATGGAAGGAAGCGGGCATTGAATATTGAGTATTTTCTATTAAAGGAAGCTAAGCTGCCATTTTGGGTATGCACCCGATTATTTGCAAACTAAAATATGCAGCTAATGCAAATGGAGTCTTTTGGTATATTTAAAGCAAACACACTTTAGTGCATGAAAAAAAAATCCCCCAGGCCGGCCATTCTCAAATCCACCCATTTCCGCGCATGCTAATCTCCACTTAGCTGTTGCGGCCCACACAGATCCCGGGGTCAAGGACGCAGCTAGACAACAGATGTCGATGTGGCTCCCAGAATCTCACATCTAACACGTCTTTCCTGGCCGCAGCATTTGCGGATTTCATTTTAACATCACGTAAGTTGAGGAACAGCGACGGAGAGATCGGTGGGCTGGTATATCCGGGCGCAGCATCCACCGATTCCCAGATGTTGTTACATCTCACAAACAGCTGGGGAATCTGCTGGCCTCCCTTGCCCAGCAACCCCAGATTTCAAGGCAAGACCATATGGAAAAGCAACACTGGCAAGCTTTATTGGAACAGGGCAATCAAACCGAGGGCCTCACATTCCCCTGAGCTGCTGCAAAGCCCACTCCCCATCCCACCCCCCAGACAGGCAGGCCCCGACATTGCTCTTGAAACAGGCAAATCAGTCCAGATGGAGCTTGTATGACGTTCTTCCCATTTTCCACCCCAGCTGAAAACACATTTATTCGCTATTTTTGTGTCTGGCAGGTCATCGCCGGCAAAAGATGAAGGCACCAGGAAAACTGACCCTAGGAAGCCATCTAGGGCAGCATTTCTCAACCTTTCAGATGTGTGAGACTACAGTTCCCATAATCCCCCACTAGCAGCTTGGAGCGGCCTTTTGTGTGCAGAGCATAGAAAGCCTCTCAGGTATGATACCATAAATTAGAAGCAAAATAAATTAAAAAGGAAGGTGTACAACGACTACCCCCATTAATTACATGCACACCCCAAAAATCATGTTCATTAATTGCAGGGCAAAAACTAGTCAGAGGCCAGCTGAACTGTTACAGCATCCACTTGACAATAATCTGAACATCTTGGAAAAACACTGCCTCCTGGCGTCTTAAAAACTAGATACATTTTGGTGGACTGCAATTTACCCCATCAGGTGTGAATTATAATCCACCATGGCTTACGCGAAACTAAAACAAACCAGGTTCATCATTTTGGGGTCATAAGACTCGCTGGGCAAGCGAAGGGTTGGGCAGAAAAAGCAGCTCATTTTTTGCAAACTTTAAAGGAGGCCCATGAAGATCAAGGACCAGTGCTTCCCAACCTCAGCCACTTTAAGATGGGTGGACTTCAACTCCCAGAATTCCCCAGCCAGCCAACTCTGGGAGTTGAAGTCCGCCCATCTGAAAGTGGCTGAGGTTGGGAAGCACCACAAAGGGCTGAGCAGCTCTTCAGATTAAAGGCAAGGAAAGGCTGGGGGCACACGGAGTCTGAGAATACTTGTGGGGGTACAGTTGCTGAATGGTGCCCTGCGTGCGCCACCCTCCTCCTGCTTTGAATCCAAACCACTGCTGAGCACAAAGGTGTGGACAGGCCCACTGGCAGCCAACTTCTGCAATGCTCCCCGTTTACCCCATAGCTGTAGGCCTGCCATATCCTCCCCAGGCTCCCCCACATCTCAGGGCACTTGGCTTTTGCTCCTGGGCCTCCAGGAAAAGCCACAATGATGTCACATGCGCCACGAGGTCACTGCACAAACGAGATGAATTCCATGTACGGATTTCAGGCTGCGGTCCACACAGATGACCTAGCGTGGGCCGTTTACACAAGCGCGTTGTGACGTGCATGACATCATTTGCAGGAGAGCGTCACCGTGATGTCACTGTCCCTCCCCACCGATGCTCCTGCCTCCCCCGTCCATCTCCCCACGTAGATTCTTCATCGCCGCAGCCAAGGAGGGAAGATTTGGACAGAGGGACCACGTCCACGGCTCTTCTGCTTCGCTGCTACGTCGGAGGCCGAAAGCAGAGGCAACGGATGAGATCTAGAAGGGGGGGGAGAAGAAGGGGGGGGAACGGGAGAGAAACTGTAAAGCCTCTCTGATCAAGCCACACAAAGGCAGACTTTGGCTCTGCAGACAAAGGCCTGTTTGTCAGGGCCACAGAAGGGAGTTTTTCTTCTCCCTCTGACCTCCAGGCATCGCCACGTACCACTCGCTGCCCACCCCAGAGAGAGCGCATCTTCTCCACGCAGGCTTCCCCAACCGGTGGCCCTCCGGGACTGCCGTTCCCCCATTCCCTGCCCAGCCCACTTTTTAGGGCACGTTCCTTTCGAGCGCTCAGATCCTCACCCTGGAGAGCAAAACTTGGCGTTCCTCATCCTCATCCTCTTCCCTCCCTCCCATCGTGAACTGGGAGATCACGCAGCTTTTTGGAGCTCCGCCCAGTTTGGCATCTTCAAAGGGCCGCTGTGCCCTCGAAGCAGCCGCCTAACCCTGGAAGGCACCTTGCCTGCCCACTCCAGTGCCAGGTCTCAGGAGAAGCCCTCCCTGCCATCCCCCTCTTCTCTCCCGGCTTCAGGCATCGTGCCACCTTTAAAGCCAGGGGCCCTTGGCAAAACCAGAAACGTGGCCCTGCCGTGAGGGCAAGGCCCGCGAGACTTGGATGTTGGGCTAAGCCGGAGTAAGGTTTGTTTGATTTCAGCTTGAGGTGCTGCATGAATCCACCCACTCTGGCTTGTGGCATAACACAACAGAGCCAACCGGCTTAGGCATGTTTATGCAATAAACATGGTTACGTGAACTCCAGCTCTGAACAGCACATGCTTTATTTCCCTCAGGAAAAGGGCCGCAGTCTGCTTCACATCCCACTTTAGTGTTGTGGGTCCTGGGGGGAGGACGAGCAAGGGACACCCTGGGTCTCGCAACATCATGGTGCCCGTGAGGTCATCGTGGCTTCTTCTGGCCGCTTACCCTGTCGATTCTGCTCGAGGCAGAGCTGGCTGCCACAGTCTACCTCTCTGCCCTGGTGTTCGGGGGGACGCCGCTCAATGCCGCGCAAGCCGCACAGAGCGGGCATTCAGGATATCCGCCGGGTCAGGGAACACCAAATCCACGCGGAAGCCTTGCGCGAGTGCCACCTTCAGCACCTCCTCCAGGAATTCATTGGAGGACCTGATCTCTCTGCCGTCCACACGCAGGGGGTGCAGCTTCTGTTTGGCATACTCTGCAGTGGGCAGAGCAGGTGGGCATGGGGCCCACTCCAAGCAAAGGTGGTGGCACATTGTGCTTTCTACATGGGACGTTTCTGGAGAACAGTCCGGCGTCTCATCATCCGTTTCCACATCTTCTTCCATGGAATCGCCCAGGCAAATTCTCAGATCGCCATTAGACGACCAACCGTCCAGCTGCCTCTTACGTCCTCTGCCCTCCCTGTGGGCTGCGTGGACTTCTGGAAACCCTGGCCCTCTCTGAGACTGGTCCGGCTTCCCCCCAGAAGGCCCTTTGTCCAAACTCCCGTTGGCGCATTCGGGGCGGCCCAGGCGTCTACGTAGGACGGCCAGGAAGTGCCTGTCCGTGCAGAAGACGTTGGCCGTGAAGATCTCAAGGCAGCAAGAGCTGAGTTCGTAGTTCTGCGGCCCACGGCGCACGTTGAAGTGCAGCCGGCGCAGGTGCAAGTCCACATCTGCGTGGAGCACCGCGTTGGTCCGCTGGCGCCACCGCTCCACCTCGACCCGCCGCAGCTCCTCCAGAAGGGGACGGATCTGGTAGAAGTCCGCCTCGGCCCGCAGCAGGGAGAGCTCGGCGTAGCCCTCCGGAAGGTCCAGCCGGCCAAAACGGAGGAAGTTCAGGACGTGGCGGAAGGTCTTGCCGTCCCGGTCGATGAAGTAGTTCCCGCAGCTGTCCAGGAGGGCTGGCTGTGGATCGCGGAACATGGCCCCCAGCATGGAGTCAGGGAACCGGGTCAGCGTGTCCAGCGTGGTGCTGTAGAGTTTCCCACCCACGTTCAGGGTCACGAGGTGGCCGGTCCGGCCCAGACCCTCGCAGGTATCCGGCATCCTCAAGAAGCCACCTGTGGGGAGGAGAAGAGGAGGGGGTGTTGCTCAGAGGGAGCCTTCAGGAGCCTTCAGCCCTGCCCAATTTGTTGGTGCACCTTTGGGCCACTAAACATTGGACAAAGGAAAATGTTCCCGAGCTCCCTGGCAAAAAACATTGCTTGATCCGCTCCACCCGCACTTTTGGGCTGGGGAAAGAAAGGGGACCTAGACAAGCAGGGACCCGGAGCAGAGCAGGGAGCCCGGGCACACGGGGCGGGGGGGCAAAGGAGCGCCTCCCTGGC